TGAGAAACCCCAGGATTTTTTGGGGGGCTCATAATCGCAGGATGTGACGCCTTTAATGACCGCGTCATGATTGGTAAAACTTTGTTTAATGTCCCAGCAGAGCTCTCTTTGAGGACGTTTCAACAAATGTCAGCTCTGTTTTGTTTCATGATTGCAAAGAGCCAAAATCAAACACTTAGAAAATATAAATACGGGAGAGAAATCTTATTATAGTACATCTCAACACTGATATTCTATAAGAGATACTAAGACTTTGTTTTAAAATCCTGCCGTGCACAACTTTTAAGGATAGACGTGCATGTACAGTACATGTAGAATGCACGGTTAATGCGTAAATAATGGGCTATACATTCTAAGTATAAGTGAACTAATAAATGTCGCATGTGTACTGGGAAGGGGATCAAGAATGCTATTTTGGTCTTCTAGTATATATAACATCATGGATTATCAACATCTCAGGAGTAGTATTGACCAAAGGACTCTCTTCGTGAGCAAGAGAGGGCGCTTTGTTACATAGCAGTGACGTCTCATCGAATTGTTCGCGCATGACGCATATTACGCATGAACAATTTTCGTCTGGCATTGCTAATCTGAATTACCCTCTGTTGGATGCTGGGATGGGCTGCTATTTCAGGACGCATGAGGTAAATTCTTCGAGGCCTTGTTTGATAACACTCGTTTGAACAAAACACTTTTCAGCTCTTCCGTGTGCGTGTGATACGTGCATGTTTAATGCACATGTACATGTACGTGCGTCGATCAAGACAGTAAGTAACCCACAATGCTTTGCGTTTCTGTAGCATGAAATTCGTGAAATGAATCAGCCCATGTCAGCTTACTATAAGGGCGATAGGGGCAAGCAAAATCTTCAGCCCATAGGATCTTTGCGTGGTTACCAGTTGCATGGTGTCAATGGTGTTTAAGGTATCAGCACAACTCATTGTGAACATCTAACAAAAGAAGTACTATGCAATAACAATGGACGTTCATTGTTAAAGCACTGTGTTTCTTTTGTTAGATGTTCGTAGTGACTGTTTCCTTTGAACCTAGGAAAATTGTTCACCCAGCCGCAAACAGCTGCTCGTTGTCTATGAGAACAGTCTTCGAACCTCTTGTTACACCTCCATTGTGTCTGTACAGTGGCGGTTATAACAGATGACCGTGTCTACAAAGTGTGACCTTTTAGGTATTGATGAGGTTTTTTTTATTTATATCTTATTAGGCCTATGCATACAACTGAAACATAATGTGATATAAAATGGAGCTTAGAGGTGCCATTGCATCGGTATCAAGAAAAAATAAACAGAACTTCGAATGGACGGGGCCGCGGGACTTCTGCCGGCCTGTAGCCTGTTCTCCAGTGTTTGTGTTATACTCAGCTTGGTTTGCACTACTAATGACGTCGGATGAAACACGACCCGCGTGCAGCCAAGGGCCAAACGAGAAAAAGCGACTTGCGTGTCTTGTTCGATTGCTTGAAGAGGGACCTTGCTGGAGCCGGTCTCGCATACCCCGTCCCACCAAATCTTGAGACGGCCGACCGGGTTGAGAGTCCCAGGAAGACATCTTAGCCCAGAAGTATCGCCTCACCTCCAGTTTTGGCCGAGGAGCTAGCTAGCCACTGCTTGGCAGAGGCCCAACATCCCAAGTGCAGAGGCAAAGTTTAAAATTTCCCTTCTTGTTCGGCGGAGTGACAGACAACAGCCCCGGGCCACGCGTAAATTGTACTTGGTAAATGTAGTTAGAGTGCAGATAGGTTTACGCACGGTCCTCGCGCTGCTGATCAGGAAAAAAAGGTTTTTTTCTCCAAGACGTTAACGTTCTTTACTCCCCTTGGAATCCAGGCACGTTTAGTGGGGGAAGGAACAGATACTTGAATGCCATTAATGGGACAAGGATGTTATGTAAAAAGAACGTAATTAATACAAGAGATTGTAGCTTGAAGGTGAATTGCCAGTGTCACACATTGCATTTGAATGAAAAACCTCTAATTCGAGATTAAATCTATGCTCGTGCCTACAATATGCCTTTTGCGAGTTAAATTTGAATAAAAATCTGGTACACAGAGTTCTTTAAATTCACGCAAACGTAACTATTTGAATTCTTTACACTAAAGACACTGTTGCTACCCCTCGTGATTCGGGGCAAGCCTTTGCTTAGTTACATAAGAGACATCTTGCACTAATACACTGTTTTCAATGGATAAGAAGGGCACAAAGGAACCAGTCCATTCCAGAGATGGTGGTCAATATGCAAAAGCTTGCTTGTCTTTAGTCTGGGGAATTCAAATTGTTTTGCTTATGTGAAATCAAATAATTCAGTGTACCAGATTTTATTCAAATTTGATTAATTAACTCACAAAGGGCTTATCGCCGCATTATTAACCTCATACACCGAGTTTCTGAATCATTCCAACATTATTCTACCAAAGTTCCTTACACTTTAAATAGGATTACCCAAGCGCGCCGAGCTAATGCACCAACCACCCATTACCGTCTTCACAGTTTCATTTCCCACTAATTGGTATTATGATAGGGCTGGGTAGAGCACTGGTACGGTATTCTAGAGGCCGCAGGTTCAAATCCAGCTCCATTCAATTTCTTTGTTCATCTTTATAATCATTCATAAGCACCTAGTCAGTTTCCGTATACGATTTGTTTCATGGTATTAATTAAGAGCAACGTCGGACGAAACGTCTTGTTCAATGAAACAAGCGTGGTACAACGTGTAACCAAGTCAGTTTGGTACCTAGTGATGCTTCGTTGTGAAGAGTTAGTATTCTAGGTGCATCACTTGGACAATGAACGCATTTTCAGAAAGGAAAAAAGGACTGAAACATTAATTAAAGCACCGAGGCTCTACCTTAGCGGACTTAGAAAATGCGTCTTCAGAGGAAAAGGAGAATAGTGGCAGAGCGTGATCTGTCGAAAAAGGTGTTAACGATGTGCTCGTGGCACAAACACACTGTTAACGTTACCGTAACGGTAAACATTTTTTCTGTGTACCCGAAAACACCTTCGTTCGATGAAATACCAGGGTGCTCATCTCCCTGTTTGTCTTTGCCCGTCTCCCTCTGGCTGTCACTTAGGAGGCGATATCATGCGTGCGTCAACACCACCTCTTCGTCACCTGGTGATGTCTCCGCTGTGAACTGAAATGCCATCTTACCCTGGCAAGAACAGATTAGCAAATCCTCGCAAAAACCCTTCAAGGCGCCCCTTGACGTTGACAACCAACGAGGACCACGTGAACTGGGACCCCGTTTCTATAACATTATGTTCGCCGACCTGTAATCCCCTGGTGCGAAGTTAAGCCACTGCGATCTCTCACTGGGTGACCCCCCCTCTTTTCGCCATATCCCTTCCTATTCTTCAGTTCATCATCCCGTCGTCGCCTCAGATCGATGCCGAGCTATTGCCATTCAATCGCAGCTGTGCACGCATCAGACAATACCCGCTGTCAAGCCGGCAGGCCCGTGTCGGCTTTCAACGCAAGTTGGGCAGTTAAGTCCGCGGTTTTACGATTCTGGACAGCCCGTGTTAGGTTCTCTGATATACGCCAATCATACAGGACATCGACACCGCCGATATAAGCCTGCGCGCGCAAGTCCAAAATGACTTTCCCGGGAACCCGGCTTATTTCGGCCTGGAGTGTAGGCCTCAATTATTGAGGGATGAATTGGAGAGAGACTAGCAATCGAAAGATCACAAATGCTGCCATCAGTTACCTTCGTCGGAGAGGTCACACAGAGGCCACGTACCTTATATCTCAGAGTTTATTCCACCGTTTTTATAACCAATTACGGAGATATTTGCTTTACGGCGGAGCAACCCAAGAATGAAAAGCCTCGTTAACCACAAGAGGGCGTTAGAAGGGTATGAAGAAAGTATGTCCTTGTATAAGAATACAGTTAAACACCCTCGCGCTTATTTTTCTAGCCGGTCAAGAGCAGATCGGGAGGAGGGCGTAACGGGGCCATCCAGGCCCCCCCCCCCATGGAAAGAAAATGTAGTAATGAGAGAAATGCAATAGTGCGCCTCCAAGAGTTTGCAATGCGTTGGCCAATCACAACGCGCGAAATCTGTCGAGTCAATGCGTGACAGATTTCGTGCGTTGTGATTAGCCAACGCGTTGCAAACTCCTGGAGGCGTACTATTGTGAATCGCCCGTATTTGGGGAAGGATCTTTTGCATTTACCTTCCCAAAGCGTTTCAAAAGGCCAAACATGTTGTCTTGCCTCTCAGAAATGCAATAAAAAGAAAAAAATCCTATTTTGGGGGGCCCCAGCATGTTACCTCTCCCCCTGAAATTTGTCTCTGTGGTCATGGAGTTTAATACCGGAGGGTGATGATAAATGAGTATAACGGATGTCAGGATGTGGCCATTTGACAACATTTGGAAATGTATGGAGGGTTTTCCAGTACCATAGTGGATACAGTGCAGCTAGATAGCATGTTGGGGGGGGGTCATCGAATCGGCTTGCCATTACTGTACCTTTTCCATGTTCATGAACTGAATTAATACATCCCCCAATTGCCTTCTAGATTGGCTCCTAAATGAATTGTACATAACTTTTTAACACTGTAAAGGCCGGACCCTACTTCAGGCAAATGTGAAAGTGAAGCAAATTTTGACGTCCGAAAATAAAATTCCAGCAACATTTCAGTCGAGTTGAAAGGTGTTCGACTGTTGCGAATTCCCAGGGCGAATAATTAGATCTGACGTCACAAATTCGCGTTTGCGTTCGCTTTGGCGCCATGTAACAGTGGGGCTCAACAATTATCTTGCACGCACGGATTGTAAGCATTTTTTGTCTGTAATAACTTTGAGTCAGCAATGGCTTTGCACCTCAAAGTAACGTTTCCCTTGTACACTCAAATCTGTGTGAAGTTTTTTGACAATCACAATAACCGCTAGATTTTTGTCCATAAGCGTAGCCAAAGTGTTTCGCAGCTATTCTGACAGTTGTCTTTTCTTTGGTTTATTTTTCATCTTTCCAGGATTATTCGCGGCCAAAGTAATTTTTCCGAGCTGACAGGCCACTCGTTAAGAAACATGACCAGTTTGGAAACACTGTAAGTATACATTTTTAGAATTCGGTTTAAAATGGGTCAGTTACATTCCCATAGTTGCGGTGTAAGCCAGATAGCCGATGTGTGGTGGACGCAATGAGTACCCATGGGCAAGTTCTATCAACAACAATTTGTTTTCCACTGGTCGATTTTGCCTGGTGGCCGGTATATATTTAATGCATAAGTTACCATTTAAAAGTGACCATGGTTGACAATTTGTCGATGATCGAACTTGCCCCATATCCGGTTCGTTAGTGACTTCGTCACAAAGGCGGATGCGCCATGATTTGCAGGCTTCCATTGGACGATCGCTGAAGTTGCGTGTTAACTTATAGTTCCATGTAAACGGCGATCAATGCATTTACAGTTGTGCTCAAAAGTATTCATAGACTTTGGAATAATAACATACTTTTCTAAATTCTTCATTTGTAAAAGCCATTATGTTGGCACTTCCACTATATCTTTTGTCTACTTGTTGCAATACACAAACCCACATGTGTGTTGGCTAAACTTCATTTGCGTAATTATAGATATGATCAAGGTTTCTTTTTTGCTCCTGTTCAAAATTATTCATACCAGGGTTTACATAGTCCATTGTCTTTTCTTAATAGTCAATAGCGCAGCCTTTGTTCTTGATGACTACCTCAAGACGGTTCCTATAAGTGTCCACAAGCTTTCTGCATGTCTCCTGTGGGATGTTGGCCCACTCTTCCTAGGCGAAAGCCTCCAGCTGGGTCAGGTTGGATGGTCTCCTGGCCATCACTCCAGTCTTTGGCTCCCTCTACAAATTCTCTGTTGGATTTATGTCAGGACTTCGACTTGGCCATTCCGGTACATGGATACCACTGTCTTTGAACCACTGCTTTATTACCTTGGCGGTTTGCTTGGGGTCATTGTCCTGCTTGTACGTCCAATCAGGTCCTAGCTGGAGTTTCTCAGCAGATGCTTTCACATCGTTATCAAGGATCTTGATATAATCCTCCTTTTTCATGATGCCCTGTATCTTAATGAGGTTCCCGGTGCCTTTAGAAAAGTATTTTATTATTCCAAAGGCTATGAATACTTTTGAGCACAACTGTAACTCAATGTGCAGTACACGTATAGTGGGTGTGGTTTAAACTGAAGTGACGTCACACTTACGAACCGGATTGACACCACTGGTCGTATGACACACAATAGGCAAAAGACGAACCCGCACTGCTGTTACACAGGGCAGTGGCATCATACTCCATTTGGCGTTTAGGGGTGCTTGCGTATGGAGTTGCAGTTTTGTTGCCAAAGACTTTCTTCTAAATGGAGAAAAATGGCAGGTCCATCTGAAGTCTGAACTATAAACATTCAAGCATTCAGCCTAGAGCCATGTGGCGGACATTTTGTCGGTCATTTACACCTGTCGTCTGAATGGATCTCCTCAGATGGGGCAGAGTTTTAGCGTACGGTTGAAATATCACGATAAGAGAAATGGTCCTTCTTTAATGGGTTCATGACAGAGCATAAATATTTGTGGATTGCAGAAACAAATGAAATGGAGAAATCATGGAACACTTAACAGAATCCCTTGGAGAGATTTAGACATTTACAACTTACAAAATCAATGCAGGCCATTTGCAGCGAGTATAACTTACAGTGATGAAACATTTACTGGACGATTTACGTGAAGTGATTTTTGTTGACACACTTATATTTAGGGGAAATGCCATCTCAAGATGATCGAACACATTATGTTATCAGATTGGAGGAATGAGTTTGATCAGATTGCCAGATCAGCTGGCCATCGGAGACTCTTGCTTAAAATACTTGTTCTGCAGATTAAAAAGATGTAGAGTTAAAACACGCGGCAGCTAAGAGGCTGTGATGGGATGAGACTGGCGGCTGGTGGTTGGTGTGACAGCGGGCAATTTACCTTCGTCAGTCCCCGTCACCAATTCGTTCCCATCACGCTCTCCGGAGCCCCCGTACCGGCAGACCCCGTTTATCACAGGATTTTAGTTCATAAACAAGCAGATATCCTCGAGCACAGCCCCCTCCCCTTGAAAAACCAATCCTAGGAAAGTAAGGCCTGATTTGACGAGATGAAACTTGAAGGGCTGAATTGACGGCAGACGATGTTCTGAAAGGCCAGGGTCGGAGCCAACGTAAGAACGAAGACAACGAAGATCAATTACGGCCCGGCCCACGTGCCCTTAACCGAGTTTCCTCAAGGACTCAGCCGAAAACATACTACTCAAAGGGAGAATATTGACGCAATATTTAGCGTAAAGTACCTCTCAGAATGTGTTTTCTTTCTGATCACTTTAGCAAGCTTGTGAAGAGCAGTTTTAATTTGATGCCCAAAATGCATGTAGCTGTTTAGATAGTTGATAGGTCATCCAGTATTATAGTTGTTTGTCAGTTCTGAAATGCGCGCGTTCTCAGTTCAGAAATCTCCATCACGTTAAGCTCGTGCAGCTGCAAAGATACAGCGTATGAGGGAGCACACATGGTACACCGATGCTTTTAGGGAACTACAACCTCCTTTGGAATATGATTATGTTGGGCACCGAGACGCAGGCTGTTCGATGCGCTCCCCCGTCCCATAACGGAATATTCTTTCTACTGTACATCATGATATGGGGGGGGGGTCTCAAAGCGAAGAGAAGCATTATATTAGTTCACCGCTGTGCCGATAACAATTACTATTTACAAAGTGGTTGTATCACGACAGCAATGAGTATGAAGTACTCCATTCAGTGCACGGTGTCGGTTTCTGTCTTACCGGGTAGGAATGTCTGTGCAAGTGTGCGGTCAGGTAAAATCTGAAGGTTGTTGCTTTTTCAAAATGTGCCCGAGACTGAAGGTCTCTGATCAGCTCATCAACCGGTAGACCCACAGCAGCATGGGTCAAAAGGCGATGTTCCTGGTCATCTTGATCCATTGGGTTAAATTTCAAATAAATTGTTAGACAAAATTCCCTCATGGCGCCCTCTGTAATTAGCTGACTGCTTAGGAGTGCTACCAGGAAGGACACTTTTACAGAGAGGAGAAAATAAAAACTATCGCTTAAAAATTTTCAACGCGGTAATTGCAGATTTTGACGCAGATGCAGCTAGTCATAGCAAGCACATTCATTCGTGATGTATCGAGGACTCATACTAAGTATTTTCTTTGCAGTGAAATATCTCGTAGTGGCTTGCAGCATGTATCAGACGATGCCTTCATGGAGACTCCCAACCTTGTTCAGATGTAAGTTGGCTTTCCTGGGTAGGAAGGGAAAATGTGTCTTCTCTGTACTATTTTCAAGGAAGCCAGTCTAATTAAACGAATTTTTTTTTATTGACCACTCGAACAGCAGTGAGGATCATGATTATAACTTCAAATTTAACGCATACTTTTCGAATACATTGTACATGTGCGATCTGTTTATTTATTTATTTTGAATTTATGTTTTTGGTCTAGAAAATTTCCTTTCCTTGATTTGCACTTACCAACAATGCAGTCTGAATACCTGCGAGCAGCTCCTCTCCAAGAGTCAAGTCGAGGCACTTAAATGCATAGTGGGCAGGAAATGCATGGGTCAGATCGCGCACCAAAACGTGAGCGGTTCGGCTGACGTTTAATCGATCACTGCATGCGATTTCTCTTGGCTGTGACTGCCACAAGCGTAAATCAGGCTAGCTATCAAACCTTAAAATGCTCAAAATACCACGGCCACAAGTGCAAACTAGATAGCAAATCAATTTTATCCAGGCCTGCATGATGAGCAGAAACATAGCCTTGCGTGTCTCTCTATATATCGACTCATCGGCGTTATCCCTAAATAATACATATTGTTCAATTATATATTGCATTCTGTCAACTTTAATTCGTTTCAGAGATTTCAGTGGTAATAACTTGAAGACGTTGTCATGGAGACCCTTCAAATATATAATTAGCAAATTGCAAAAATTGTAAGTATCAGATAGAAGGCATTTTTTACAACCATTGCTCTGTCATATACGTTGAAGAAAGACGTTTTTATGCATGTAAGTCCCATAATAATAAACAGGTATGAGAATTCAGCTGATTAGCAGATTTCAGTTTTTTTGTTCAGATGTTGACCCTGAATTTGAGCTTGTTTTGTACACCTGGTCTGTGCAAAAGTATGGGAACTTTTTACATTTCAGCTTTGTTGTAGCTGGTTTCAGCTTTAATTTTAAGTGGCCACTCACACCCCTGAAGAAAAGAATTTCTTCCCAAATGTCTAAACAGTGGTGTGAAGCCAATTAACTTGTACTGAGAGATCAGTTAAAATATGTTGCACTGCCACACATTTTAAGGCGGTTAATGATCTTTTTCAAGATCTAATGGAAAATATAATACACGAAGATGGGCTAGGACTTAGTGCCATGTTTTAACATTTAGCCCCCCCCCAAAAAAAGAGCCATGAGAGTCAATTAATTTTGGCTTTTGTCTTGTCTCCCCAATCAGGGATGTCTCGGACAACCCACTTGTGTGCGGATGTGCCCTCGATTGGTTGGTTCCCAGGCCTGTTGCTGGTCAGACCTCGTTTGACATAGGGGAATCAACCTGCTTTGAGAACACAAAGAGAGATCCAATTAGCTTGAGAACCATGGACATACCAGAGGGAACATGTAGTGAGTATTGGGAACTTGCTCATCTCTTCGGCAAAGTGTGATGAATTAAGCTGGTCCCACAGGTTTCACTATCTAGGAAAATTCATTTCAAGCCAACTACACAAATACGATTTTTACGCATATGCTTTTGGATATTGTAGTCATTTGGTATAGACATCGTCGAAGACATTTTTATATTGCTGTCGAAAAAAAATCACCCATGCCTAAATGTAAGATCTGTCAGAAGAACACTAAGTACACTTTTCTCGAATGTAAAGAGTTAATGCCATTATGTTTTAGAGGACACTGGAAACTTAGAACGCTTTCCAAGATGATAACACCACAGAGCCATATTGCTAAAGTGCATGGTTCCTTGTGGTGATTCCTGTGTGTTTGTGGTGCACCCGATCCGACTACCCACCGCTACCTATAAGTACGGTCGCACACCTTAATACGCCATGCTCTGGGTAGGTCAGTATCATAGGACCGTAGCATGGACTACGTGCGCCACAGTTGTAAGCTGGACCGGTTTTAGCTTGTGCACCGCAGCAGTGGCTCTGTGTTGTATGTCAAGTAGGGGCGCTTTTCATGTCATGCTTACAAGTGTGGCGAACGTAGTCCTACGATCGTATGATACCAACCTGCTTATAGCATGGCGTATTTGGTGTGCAAGCTGTAAGTAGCAGGTAGTCGGATCGGGTGGTGCTGTAGTTCGAGTGCCCGCAACCAGTGTTATAAGGCCATTGAAAATGTAATGAGCGTATTCTCTGGGTGAAACTAAAATCCTTCTCCGGGTCTGCTAATTAGAACAGTTGGACACCATTGTTTCCTTGTGATTGAATATGTTGGTAAATGTTTCTTTTGTGAAAACTTTCATCTGTTAATGGTTCTCTTCATAATTACACCGTTTTTCGCAGCTTTACCAACCGTCCAAGTGAGTCGAAGTGAATTTACCTTCAATAACACGGGGACGTTCGAGGTGACCTGTCGGGTGACTGGCGAGCCGACGCCGCAGATCGACTGGGACACAAGCTCACTCGAGAGAGAAGGAAGCGTCAGTAACTTTACTGTGGTGGACTTGCCGGACGGTGGCAAGAAATTACAGGTGGCAGGAGCCACGGGGATTGCCACGGGTATGCTGAACTGCAGCGCCTCCAACGAGCGGGGGCAGAATTTACAAAGCGTTCGTCTGTATGTACAAAGTAAGACCCAACCCCTGTATATCTGAGTAATACATGTGTGCTTACGAAGTTCACAAATACCAAGCTAAAGGCCAGTTCATACTTGGTGCGAAAGCAAACAATAGCACTTGTGACGTCAGATCAAACATTCGCGTAGCGAATTTGCAAAAGTTGAACCAGTTAAACATATATCAACTCAGCGAACCTTTGTTGCAAATCTTCTGTGAAGTCAACTTGGCTTCGCTTTCACATTCTCTTGAGGTATGAACCGGTCTTAATGCAGTCACTTGTCATAAATCTCTCCACAAAAGCGAATTGCTTATACACCATGTCTTTTGACGATTCTTTCTTGATTTGTTGTGGTGCTCTGGTAATCTCATGTATTACCAGAAGTGGTCCTTTAAAAGTTCTTTGGATTCTTTTAATGCCACCCGTTCTTTTATGGTTATATAAGTAAGCCCGTGCCCATTATTTGTTGCAGTTTGCTTCAGGGCATTAGCTCCGTCACATCATTGTCGTTTTTTCCGTTGTCATGATTTATTCAATTATTTTGGAAGCCAAATTTACGTCTGTTGTATAAGACTTTTAGTTCTCTTCGTCTCTCTATTAAAATTCCGCGTCTATTATCCTACATAACAATTGCTAGATAGTTCAGTAAAAATAACAGACACTGAAAGTCAGAGATTTTGAGCTGCGAGTCCATTTTCTCTTTTTGCAGCCAAACCGCAGATCGTGTCCTTGCAAATGAAGAAAATGTTCCATTCCAGCATATGCTTTGAGGTGAGGGGGATACCCAAGCCCAACACAACCTTCCTCAAGAACGGGAAGTTCTTCATCTCGGACGTGCTTAATCCCAACAACCCCAATTTTGTGAAGATGGCACACTTTGACCCAGAGCAGCCACTTAGCAACGCCCTGAATGGATGTGTGTATTTCACCACCCCGTCGCACGTCGACAACGCTAACTACACCTTGGCCTGCACAAACCTACTTGGCCGCGACGAGAAGGAATTGGAAGTCATTTTTATCCCTCATCCAGGTATGTCATTCCCATTAATATCTCTGATAGTATGACAGTGCTTACAGGCTCATGTACCCGCGCGCGCTAACGTAAATATGCATGGTCAGAACTATAGGACACTTGGTTTTCTGTTAGATGTTTTTACATTCAGATCAGCAAATCGCGTTGTCTCTTGATAATCCGCTGCATTTAGAAACTGCAGCTACCGGTATATTTCCAAAGATGCTGCACTGGGACTGCGCGTTCTGACCAATCAGTGTTCTTGTTGGGTATGACATCACGGTCTGGCTGTTGCGTCATTGTTTTAACTAACGTAACTGCCGAGCGAGTTCTCGTTTCCTGTGTAAACATAAACTATCGCTTTTTCTTACCGCTCACGTGTGTAAATAAGCCTTCATGTAAGGAGATAGATGTCTGGTCAACATTACTCCATTTTACATCAGAATGCTAGACTTAGATGGTGTTGGCCTGAGGTTTTTCCAATGATTTGATACAGTAAGAAGTGCTGAGTCCGTTAGTTTATGACTCACTGCTTTCGGCCACTTTCTGTGTATGGTGTTGCAAGAATAAAAACCAAGAACAAAGCCAAAACGCCAAAGACCTGATCAAAGAGTATCATAAAACGTATTACGAAAAAGCCAACCTAACCAGTGTAATCTTCTTTTTTTGTAAAAGAGGACTTTTCATATTTTAGTGCCATGTAGGGCCTGTAAAATGTGTGAGTGAGAAGCAGAATCGTAGTTTTTAGACTCTTGGTGGAAACACATTGATCAACCAATACTTTTTCTCTAGTTCAACGCTTAAATGCCAGTTGTGGCTCCGATTCCAGAACTAAAAGGACGAAATGTGATTATGTTTGCTTCCACCAAGTGTCGACAGGCCTCTTGTTTTCAAGGGGGTATATTGATGGATGGTTGTCAGTTGTTTTCTGTCAATAACGCCATTGGTTGGTTCTTGCATCTGCAGTGGTGGTGTCAGATATTATCCAAGAGCTAGTCTAATTTGTTCTCTTGATTTGTCTATGGAATATGTCATTCTTGCCCTCTTGGTATACAAGGGAAAACCTTTTTTCGTAAAGTTAGGCATTGTTGTTGCCGTTATTATACAACCATGAAATGATAAGGGCTGGTGGATTTTTTTCTTGCCAAATGAGCCAAAGTGTGGCTCGCAGTTTCCGAGATCGAGAGGAAAAAGCTGGAGTTCAAGCTAGACCAGCTCTCTTCAAACTGTTGATACTAACAGATTAAACGATAGTTTGATTTTGGGGTAAGAGACATGTGTTATTTTGCTGGCCGGCGTTACCCGTAGACAACCTTAAGTTCGTGAGCGAGGATGCATATTAGCCGAAAACGTAGCCGTGGAACTGCACGTACAAAATCACAGCATTGCTTGACCCTGATAGAGCCGGATTATTTCCGACCATCTCAAAGCTGAGGAGGCGATTTTCGCTTTCCTAATAATTCAGCCGTCCATTGCCTGATTTTTTAAACTTTGCATGCATGTAAAACAGTGCAAACCAGTACAAATGTGGAGTTTCGACTCAATCTGACATATTGTTTTGTAGTTACAGTCATTTGAAGTTCAAGGCCACATACGTGCAAGCCCGCGTGCACCGAGTACGGCAGTGGAAAAGTACGTATGCATTTTTGGCTGACCTGTGTCCAAAAAAGAATGGCACTGCGCCAGAACAGTCGGTTCAATTTTCACAAAATTGACGTACAAGTGTCCGCGAGTATTCCTGAAAAAACGCTAAAAGCCTCGGCTCGCGAAAAACAACTGCACTGCGGAGATATCGGTAAAAATGTTGGAAAGGCAGATTCTGGACCCCAGCTCTTGAAGGGTTAAACATACCTGTAGAAAAGATTCCTTCATTGAATTCTGTAGCTGGTAGACGGCAAATAGATCTTGCCAATTATCTTCAATGCATGACATTTCTGGTGGTGGCGGTGTTCTTCCTCTGACGCATTTCTGTCATTTCCTAGACTGGTTCCCGGTCCCTCCATTTCCTTTGGACCTTAAATTGAATAAAGGGATCGGAAGAGGGACACTCCCCCACGTGTGTGTTCATCTATATAAAACGAGTGAAGATGATCCCATAATGCAGTAAGCAAGCATAGAGACATTGTGCCAATCAAACGTTTTTCATTTTCCTTTTAACGAGGGAACACGAATTCACTATATATTGCTCGTGCATGTGGTGAATAAGGATAAAACATATACGAAAATATCAATTTAGCCGACGCGATCAGAAATGTTAACAAGAAAAACATTTACAACACCGTGATTGTTGTGGGACTTTTCTCACAAATTCGACTTGGGTTCAAAATGGGATGACGCTTGGTGTTACAGCAACGAAGTGCGCAAACCGCACACGCTAATAGTTAAAGTTCTTTGCTATGGAAACGTGTTTACTTTGCGAACACACACGGACCTATCTGAAGTGTTACATGACATCTAGCCAACTGGTCAAAATATTAAGGGGTCGAGAACCAGTCTGTGATTACATTAATAATGCATTGAAGTCTGAAAGTGAGATAGCACATCCTCGTTCACATGTATATCTTTTAACTGACCGCTCTGCTTTTTGTTGAAGGCCAATATTAACAAGTTGCTTCTTTTCAGTTTCTGAATTAACCCTGTTTCTGGTGAAACAACTTTCGTTTTTTCAGTGAAATTGTGAGATTTTGACCACATTATTTTATTCGACTCGCGAGTTCAAAGGTGGTCCAATACTGTGATATGTTTTTAAAACGTCGATGCGCAAACGAACAGGAATACACGTATCAATGTAAAAGATAAGATCGATGTATTTTGAAAAGATTTTTGGATATATCCATTTTCCTTCTGGTATGAGAGTTTAATAATAATAACAATGTAAAACTCGGGCATTTCTCCTTGTTATCGCAACGGTTCTGTTGCTGTTTTGTTGCAAACCTGCCAACATGCCCTAGCCCTTCTTGAAGTCGGGCATTACCACACAATAGATTAAAAATTGAAATGAACTGAAGGCTCATTTACATGTAAATACCTTTAAATCTACTGTGTGGTAATGCCTGACCTCAGGAAGGAGTATGGCCAGGCTGGCAGGTCTGTTGTTGTCATGTGAGTCGTGTTCTTTTCATACCAGTGTTCAATATTTTCTTCATCCGAGATGACATAAATTTGCACTTATACCCAAAATCTCTCTTCCAAAACAAGGGGCAAAATCTCACAATGTCCGGGACCATGTATGGTTATTTAGCGATCTCTGTGCTGTCACGTTACTCTACTGTTTTGTATATACCTGTGTCTTATTCTTCACGCTGCCCGTTTGCGGTATAGGGGATAAATTCCCTTCACCGAAAACTCCCAAAACTCACGGCACAACCGTCAAGGATCGGACTCGCATTGAAACATTAGCACCACGGGTAGAGGCGGACAAAAATAGTGCTATGCAAGTAAGTATTTCATCGGTCACGTCACGAAAGATATAGTTAAATACCGGTACCTCCATTCATCGGACACGCCTCGTGAAGGTATGCAAATTAGATGAACTTGGAGCCAATCACAAATGACGAATCTAAACGGGTTGTCATTCATTGTAAATATTCATACAATGCACATTTAGGTGGACAGCACAGAGAAACGCGGCTTTATTTATATTCTTTCGTGACGTGGACTAACAACCGCATTCGCTGTGAAACTGGTAATATTTTTCTAACCTTGTTCGGCTAACATGCATGGCGCTGCTAAATTTGTCTTTTCAGCATGCTTGTAACTTATGTGTTATTGATCGCCCTACACTGCATCCCTGCACTAACATTACGTGTGCATGTAAAGTAATTAAATGTTTCAACATTTTTTATTTGTCTTATCCAGTTCATTTATTTTGCAGGGCTGTTGTTCATCAGTGTAACAAAATGTCTAATTCCTCCTTTCATTTTAATTTAATCATTGTAATTGTAATTATCGTGAGAATGTGAGTGACTCCTTTTGTTTGAGTTTTTTATCCACACATTTTATGTTGCCACGGGTTTTTTTTCCACTCTTGTTCGTTCCCCACAAGTGAAACCCCCGATTGATGATATTCACGATGATCGGAAGTTTCCGATCCAAAACCCCATGAGTTCCGCACTACCCCCTCCCGACTCCGTTCCCACGGCAACCAGCTCTGTCATTACAGTAAGTATAGTTACTTTCAGAGCTCTTTTACTTTATATTGTGACCGTCCAACACTCGCATGTCGCACAGGAGGCGTGAAGCCTCTTGTAGGCACGGGCAGTCTGGCGTCCAGTGGTGCTTCACAGGTTACAGATCATTTAAAATGATGCCATAGTCAACGATGATAAATACTCTCATCCCCTCCAAGAATTTCTAGGGGGAAAGTATAGCCTTATTAGGTGTTAATACGCACACATCAAAATAAAGCTGAATTCTCTTTCAATTTTTTGTAAAGTTTTGGGGGAGTTATCCGACGACTTTCGGGGGAAATCTACACCCTTGGTCTGGTCACAGTCTCGTAGTGCCTATCGCCAATGCGGAAAAGTTATCGCAACACTCCGGTGCAAAATAGAGCACTTTCAGGACCCATTTTCAACCTAATTTTACATAAATACAAGTTTGTAGTCATATTCATGACTTCCACTTTATGTTTTTACAAACCCTGCCATGGAGAGCTAATGATTAGGAGAGAATTTGAGAATATGCAACTTCAAGGTGGTACCCTGTTTTTTCCGTTGTAGTTGTTGGACAGAGCCGACGAGCCATATTACCAAAAATCCTCAAGCAGACCAAAAATCTTCAAGCATGCCCCCTGGGGTGGTTGTGGAATAGTCTAAGAAGATTAATGAAGATATCAATGTTTACAGTCACTTCATTTCGGTTTGCTTAGCCACTGTTTGTGGTGATCAATTAAACACTGTCAAATTAAAAACCTCACAGAAAACCTTTACAATTTGTGCTTTAACAAAAGCCTTCAAACAACTAAGGACTTCGCTCGTTACGTTTATATTACGTTGATGTAATTTGTACCGTATCTTAATGGTCCTCAAATGTTTATTTTATCGAAATTATACCTCTTTCTCTCTCAAGTTTTTGCTTCATTTTTTACTTTCTCTTCTCTTCGATTTTGCACGCCCTTTATAAAAATATTTGCACGCTTCAAAGATACTCGCCAACAGGAGAGATAGCCGTGACCATGTAGATTCATTTTCAAAAATGACCTATATTTGTATACTTGTCGCTCTTGGCACAATTTGGTTCGAAGCAAAAAGTTGTTCCGAGTACGGGCGATTCACAATAGTGCGCTTCCAAGAGTTTGCAACGTGTTGACCAATCACCGTGAGCGAAATCTGTCGACCCAATGTGCGTTTAGAAAAGGTCGACGGATTTCGCGCATTGTGATTGGTCAACGCGTTGCAAACTCTTGGAGGCGCACTATTGTGAATTGCCAGTATCGGAAGAAACCTATCTACGGTAGATATTATCTGCTCTTTCAGATACGAAAACAAGGATCAGTCTCATTTTTCTGTTTTTCTTTTGGGGGATTCTGAAAAATGTTAATAACTTCAATTTTATTTTGCTACATATTCACAAACACCCGAAGTAGATAAAAATCTGGTGAAAGACAAGGTGCGTTTGTTGCTTCATTGAAGGAAAAAACTTCACCCAATGAAGGAATGTGTATTCGATTCGAAACCTGCGACCCAAAAAACAGAATATTTGAATTTATTTATTTGTAGACTTGCACAGACGACTTGAATGATAGAAGCAGAGCACGCAGTTAAACAGACATTCCATTATTTCAAACAGGTTACAATATTGTCATCTCTGCGCATTAAGAAAAGCGGTCGTCAGTTTATAGTGCCAGTGAAGGGAAATGGAAAAAAACACTTATCTGCAGTTTTCAGTGTTCCACCAATAACTGTCTGTCTTTCATTTATGCGTACAACTTATCTGGTATGTTTGTATTGTGCACTGTCTTTGGTCGAGAGCACATTCATAATAATCTCTGACAATAAAACTCGAATGTAGCGACAATGACACGGATATTGACAACAGTACCCTGACAAGAATATTTCAGTCCGATAATCATGACATCGTTGGTTGTACTGAACAGCTTTAGTGACACGAGGTAACAGTACTGATGGCTGTTGTGCTGACAAATGGAAATAGTTACCCTCACATTATGTATTGATTGTCGGTCGTAACGTAAGGTGGCAGCACCGGTGGCAATGATTGAAATCTCTCAACTTTTCTCGTCAGCGGCATTTAATCATGACAAATTGTGAATGGTAGTGACAAAATGACTTTGACAAAGAGCTATTAACAGTGCTTTTGTCGTTTATCAGAGCATATTCAGTTTGCCTCGATAGTACTAAACAGTTTATCCCCGGTAGCATTTGATTGTCTTTTGCCTCGACACCTTTCTTGCAGAAAGTGGTCGTCGTTTTGGTGGTGATTATCGTTGGAACCCTCCTGGTCGGCCTAGTGGGCTACAGGTACCGGAAGAGGCAGCACCTGTACCGGGGCATCAATCAGGACGGCAATGCTGCTCCTTTCAGTGTCATGAGCTTCATGGAGAATGGTCGGGGTGATAAGAGCGAGATGGTCAGCATGATTCCCAACCCTAACTACCTACCCAGAAATGGCACGGGTAAGCCACCCATATACAATTTACAAACGATTAACACTTTTTCGTGGTCCCGGTGCATGTTAAGCTGTTTTCAATGCACTTAGCATTTAAACATAATTATTCCCAAACGAATATAACAATAAACATGTCGCGCCTAAACATGTTAAAATTGGGTACAAAAAAGTGTTAAGAAATGTGTTTAACTCTAAGCGCCTTATTGGAGTGAATATACTTGTCTTGTTCAGTGCTAAATCTATCAATGCAGTGTCATAATTTCATCACTGAACTGATTTCGGTCACATGTAAACTCTTTATCTTAAAGTCTACATGCTGCTTCATTGTGCTTTACATATTGTAGTAGTAGAAAGATGATGCTTCCAGTTCGCCCAACCAAATTCGATACCTTAATTGTAACACAGGCTTATCTGACATTAATGCTGGAACGGTTGACAAGGTTTAACTTTTAAATTCGTCGCAAAACGTCAGAAGTGACTGAAACTCTTTTGTCTTGTTTGGTAACATCACAGTAAGTTCCATTAGCTTTTCATTCTTTAGAAAAAAAATATCAAATTCCATTTGATTACATTGTGTATTTCTCCGTCTCTTCCTAACGTGAAGTGGAAGAAACCAGAAATCCCCAGTGAACGGCACGATTGTTAACCTGTAATTTGATGTGTGATGAGGAAACGTAGATCGTTGTTCCTCCGTCACTCAAAACATGGTGATCTCTTTTTACCCTCGTGACAACACGTAGCGTGATTCAGCTACCTTGGAGCATATTAAACATACGTACTCAATTCCAATTTAGTTCATGCCATTTCAACATGTGTCCCTATAACTGCATTTTCCAGCAACCCAATGATACCTTTTACATGCAGAGATGTGCATGTGGTTGGTTAATGCAGATCCGAAAACCAACATGACTGTCAACGCAATGCAATAATACCACCTTAATGACTTTTTTTCAGCTGTCCACCACATCAGTCGGGATCAGATGCGCTTTCTGGGCGAGCTTGGGGAGGGAGCATTTGGTGTCGTGTGTCTGGGAATCTGTGAGAACCTACCTGCAGAGGGTGACGTCACGATGGTAGCTATCAAGGTAAGCTTTGTCACGATCCTTCTCACAATCCTGAATCTGTATGCGTAAAACCAAATCTATCTTACTCGAATTTACTCAACAAACGTACCAGTTATAGAGTTACTAGCCTTTTGCTTGGTTTCATTATGTTGGATAAGAACGAATGTGGGCACGTGACTGTAGCCTCTTCAGGCCCCCAAGTATAATACTGTGGAAGCACTATGCTAACTATTAAAGTTTAGAATAAAATGTCACGTGCGAGGTATTTTGTTTGACAGCTTGTATCCATTCCATTCCACATATCCATTCTATGGTTAAATGGTGGTGTGCAGTACTTCTTAGCATGCACGGACTGGTTTGTACACGATACTTTAATGCCACAATATTGCAGTGCCTTCACACCACCTCTCTTTCAAACTCACCCAGACCCTGAAAGATGCCTCCATCGGTGATGCCAGGAAAGACTTCGAGAGGGAGGCGGAACTCTTGACTAATCTGCAACACGACAACATCGTGACGTTCTACGGCGTCTGCATGGAGAAGGAGCCCTTCCTGATGGTCTTTGAGTACATGGAGAACGGCGATTTGAACAACTTCCTGAGGTGGGTCTGCATGTGTTGTTTTTAAAACTAATCCTAAGACGTACATTTCATGGCTGCTTTCAAACGAATTTTGTCATGTTTCATATTTTTTATTTGTAGCCTGTTTGTGGTTTTTGTGCTTCATTCTTCATGTGTTTCATTGTGTGCTTGTGTTATAATTTTTTTCCTACTACATTCTGTATTTATGTACTGCACAATTGAACACAATCGTTAGTTCGTTGTTGTTCTTGTTAGCAAACAGTTACAACACAATGTACAAACAGCACGTGCGCACCCATAATTTGAGCAAATTCGGTCCCATGTGAACTCATGCTCAAGTCTGTTTTTGACGATACTAACCTTCTGTGCAGTCAAAAAGAAAATCGAAATACCCTTCTCAAAAATGCGAATGTGGTTTAGGCATTCTTAATTTTTCTCTGTTGGACTTTATGCTCAATGCAAAAACCAGAATAATTTCATAAGTTTCGTTGCTCGAACATGATTTATCATGCTAAGAGTGGTTAGTTTACCCCAAAGTTGAAATAGTTAAACATTTAACCAATAGCAAAAGAAAGGAGTGCTGAACTTCAGTTGCTCATAAGGGCTGTAAGGCTTTTTCCAAAGTGATTCCAAGTACTCCAGTCAAGAGCGAGAGTTTTGTAGTCAGTCAGCGATAGGTTCACTGCAATTCTCTGTAAGCCATACCCAAGCAATCCGAGGGTCACCACGAGCCCTTCTCCTCGTAATTGATGAATTTGATTGTGTTGAAATCCTCATGATGATTTGTTTGTTTGTTTGTTTGCTGCGCACTGCTACCTAATGATCAGGTGTCGTGGGCCGGACGCCGAGTGCCTGGGTCTGAGCAAGAACCCCGCCTTGCTCCCGCTCACTGTCAACGAGTTGCTCTTCATCGCCAAGCAGATCGCCTCGGGAATGATGTACATGGCTTCTCAGCATTTTGTCCATCGAGACATGGCCACCAGAAACTGCCTAGTGGGGGACAAGCTTGTGGTCAAGATAGCCGACTTTGGCATGTCCCGAGACGTCTACAGCACCGATTACTATAGGGTAGGCGTGCTAACGGAGGCACGAAAGTTCCCCTTATACAGTGCTAGATTTTCTTTGTGCGCACGTCATTTGGAGTGGGCTGAAGCGCGCATATTTTAATTAATCAAATTCCAACATATTTCCCGTGAACGCAAGATGGTTGGTCAAGTCTGGTTGACTTTTTCAAACTGGACCACAGGACGCAGTTGCATTGTTCTTTTTCCGTGCATTGCTTCCCATTGTTAGTCACAAACGGAACGCACATAATTGTGCTAGATTGCTGCAACTGTGAGAGAAATCGAAATGCAAAAACGGGATGATTGAGTAACAGTTTGGTTTTTTGACAAGAGTTTATCTAGGTGCTGTATTGCGCATGCGAATTGGAAGTTTAGTACGCATGCGCAACAATAGTAGGACCAATAGATGAACAAAATTCGCTCTCAAACTTGTCAGATCATCATCTGAGGAACTGTGTTATGGACCAGTTTCGAACAAATAAAAATTGTGTGTAATATTATAGCCATTCTGTGCACAGCCCATGCTTCGTAATTATATGAAGGAAAAACATGAAGTGGGTGGGATTCGAGCCAGGGTCACAAGCACAAATTGACCACTTAATCCACCCGCTGGGAGCCTCAAGGCGGATGCTTGATTTAAACATGGTCGCTATCCCGTTACTGCCTGTAGGTTGGTAGCCACACCATGCTGCCGGTGCGTTGGATGCCACCCGAGAGCATCATCTACCGGACCTACTCCATCGAGAGCGACGTCTGGAGTTACGGTGTAGTTCTGTGGGAAATCTTTGAGTACGGCAAACAGCCGTGGTATGGACTCTCTAACCATGAGGTGAGATTGAGACTGCCTGTCACAGCTGATCAATGTATTGGTCGAGTGGCATGAGCGGTCGTTGTTTTACAACACCCATGCTCGTTTCGTAATACAGCCACCATTTCCATCCTTAGACGTACTCCTAGATGAAGTTAGCAGAAGTTAGCCCTTAAGCTAGCATCTATAGGTAGTTACATTTTACCACAGTTCACCAGTACCACAACCTAATCCTTCACGGTAGCAGCAAAGCTTTAAAAACTCAAGAATTCCAGCTCAACCAAATTTATTGTTAACCATCGGCGAACGAATCTAAACCCTGTCGACCGACTTGTGGTGAGTCCACCACAAAACAATTACAGGTTATAAGAGATAAACAATGAATAAGGAATGGTCATGTCATTGTACATTTTTAGTCGATTACTTGACTTGAGATCAGATGACCTGGGTTGGACTTGTGACTTGTTATAGGCTGACTGCTTACTAGCCTGTTATGGCCCTACCATGCCGGTATTCCAGATGATGTTACCAAGAACGGACTGATCAAACATAGCCAACCTCAACTTGGCCGTTCCTGTTCAAACATACCATATTGTGCTTGTTTCTGGACCGATTTTTACAGGTGATCGAGTACATCCACAACGGTATCCTTCTGGACTGTCCGAAGGCGTGCCCTAAGGAGGTCTACAAGGTCATGCTGGGCTGCTGGCAAAGACAGCCCCAGCAGCGACTGGTCATCAAGGAGGCACATGAGGCCATCAGCAGATTGTCCGACGAGAACCCGCCCTTTGTCGACATGACCGGCAAGAATACATTTGTGTGAGCTGATCAGTCAGTAGCGATTAACCTCTGCCCCAGAAGCGCTCTACACTTCATCACGAGATTATGTAAAGATGGTATACGTAATTTGTCCGCTGAGCAGCTGTTGAACCGGTTTCAACCGGTGTAAAGTACGCCTAGACCTAGCCGGTTGCGCGACTCGGCGCCAACCGTTTCAAAAGCATCCTCAGAAAATGACTGTTAAAGTGACTGGCGCTGTGTCCTTACGCCGTTTGGGCTCCCCGTGTTTTCATGCGGGAACCAGACAGAAATCAATGTCTCATTGGATAATTCAAGGTTCCCCCATTCATCGGTGTTCTCCTTGTTTCCCTTGGCATACACATGGGAGACAAATTAATACGTTGTCGGACAATTCAATCTATGCTTCTCTGTTATATTTATATCTACAAATCGGTGCTTAAAATACATGTAACTACGTTGCAAGTCCTTGTTAAATGATAGACAAGCAGTCGGTTACTCAGTTTGTGTAACGTTTTGTTCAGTCTGGTGTGTTCATATGTAAGTAATGCAGTAAACCTAAATGTTGGAATGTATGCGTTTCGTCAGAATATTGGTGATACAGTAGTTATCTTGTCACGGACTTTTTTCATTTGTACGATGCCATGAAACTTGGCGGGAAATTATTGTCATGTTCTCTGTGTCAGTTTCACTGACAGCATTATACCGGGTCCCTTTGATTTATGTAATCATTCCCTGTTAATACCGCCTCGTGCATGATGGTGTCGATATAGTTATATCAAATGTGTACGTATGATAACCATTGCACCTTAACAGATATTTTCTTGAGAACTGTAAACACTTGTATATTGTGAATAATTATGTACACAAACGTTGGTGAGGAAATATTCAAAAGGGAGGCCTATTGGGAGCCGCCTGGTGTGAATTTGCTAATTTTTTCAAACGAGACAAAAAAAATCCGAAAAGTAACTTGTATCTTCGTTATGTAGATTCGCAACTTTAATCTACCATTGACAAAGGCACTCAAGCAAAAATGCTCCCAAGTGTACGGTGCAACAAAACATTGTTAAGCACTGCGTTGACGTACACATCAATGGCCAAACTTTTATCTTGATCGTCTGAAAGAGCAAAGTATCTGGAGGCTATTTTTTTTTCATTGATTCGTAACCTCAATGGAAGTCACTGCAATTAGGTTGGAGAATACACAAATTTGTGACTTTTCGGTAAAAACTAATCTTGATTCTACGTAGACCTTGTGCATATGTCCAGCATGGCGTCTGAATTCCACATTCCTTCCACCTATTGAGAGATTTATTGCAGTCAAAAAGAACAAGGATTCAAAACTGTACTTCCATGATATTCTCTGATATATTTCTCCATTATACATCTGCTTCTCACTACGTTTACGCATGTATTTACGTAGAGATATCCTACATGGCTGTTTCATGTATCATTTTGCTTTGCTTCCCAAAACACTGTTAAAAAAATCGTGTAAAGATGTGTCTTGTACAAAGTAATGTAAATATACATTGTTGTCATGTAACAATGAGAAATTTGATTTTTGTAAGAAAACAATTTTTCAGGGACCAAGGAATTATCTTTTTTCTCTAAGGCAACCCTTTTTAATTCCATGGTTCTCATAGTTCTTGGTAGTTGAGGAGAGTCGGTCGGTCGAAGAAAAATCTTGGGTATAAACAACTGCAAGGTGAACACACTAAAGCTGAAATCATGCAAGTTAATCGATTGATGATTAACTGTTTTGCCTTTTTACATTGTCTTTTAACTGACTTAATGTTTATTTTCATGGTTTTTGGAGAAGTAAACAGAATAAACCACCAATAACCACTTTGTGTAAGTTACACAGATTGAACAAATTTGCACCTGGCACATTACCATCACATAACATCTGGCGTTCAAAAGTTCACCAGTTCCAATATGGTGGTCAACACCTTCATTATCTAGTGTTCCGCCAGTCGATTCATTCCCTATAGTCACACGTACGTTTTGTGGGGAAATACGATAATTACAGACATTCATGTCGCATTTTCGTCCAGAAAATCGGACGGAGTGTTCCTTTCCTTTCATTTTTTCGTGGTCTTGTTGCTGACATGGTTGGCGGAATCCCAACAATATTTTTTCCTTCGGTCGGGAGCAGAAAACATGGTCGGTCGGAAATGAAAACCACACATTTAAAGAGGGACACCCCTGAGAAGAAAGTCACGCTACTTTTCTCCTTGTAAACTGTACATTTCTTATTTCATCGAAACTCACGTTTGAAAGAATTCTCATACCTCACTGGCGAAACCAGTGTTATTTCTATTCTCGCTGATGCTACCTCTATTGTTGCTTTTTATATCAGTATAAGTTGGTTGCATTTCGAAGTGTCGTCCATTGGTAGATGTGTTACGCTCAAGAGAATGTGGAGGACTGGAATATGAAAGCACTTGTGCATGGGCCTACGTTACTTTGACAAACTGTCTTCCAAAACCCAAAGTAGGCCTGCTGTTAAAGGGAACGCATCAAAACCGTTCTTTGATTCATCATTTGAAGGGCAATGCTTTGGACCTCTCTGTACATTGCGTTTGTTTGTGATGGTTTCTCACAAAGGAAACACTGCTCGCCCTTCGTCTGATTTGTTTCGGTTTGCGCGCGATTGTTGCTGGTTGTCCACACAGGTGCAGCAACTCGACTTCTGGTATCTTGCGGCTGCACCAGGATGGTTTATGTCAAATAGCACCACTCCATAATCTCCATGACATTCTCTTTGGACATCGGCGTCAGACGCATACTGCATCAAGTTGACACTTTTTGTCTGCTCATGCCTCAAGCTCATATACTCGACACTTGACACTAGATAAACATCACGATAACGTCAGTGTCACAAGCGCTAGGAGGAGAGGACGAAAGATGCACCGGACACAGAAAGGAGACGAGATATTGCAAAAAGAGAGCCTGCTTAAACTTATCCGCTTGGGTTTAATCCTCTGTTTTGCCATTTCATTTTCTCCGTTTTATTTGAATTGAGTTGTTAGGCATAAGCTCTGTTAGAATCCAAATGTTGCATGCATGAGGTTTGCGCCTTTTTATTCCTCGTGTTTGGTTTCACTTTCCATTTTATACTACAGAAGTGCTGGTAACTTCCTCTTTACACAAAAAGAGCGTTTTCTTATGCATTTTATTCGCAGGAAACGCTATTTTGTGCTTGTTTATGCGTTTTTATGATGTGGACAAATTGAACAAAATCTTGTTGTCATAACCGACAACATTTTTTCGAAGTATTAAGTTAGATTGCAAACAATGCAGCTCTGGATACAGCATGCGGTTTGTTATTATCTGTGTGAAACTTTTTTGCAAAAGACTTAAGCCCATATTCACCTACCTTATAAACGTGATACATGTATTTTTTGGGGGGGGGGTTCTTTACTTATTTCAAGTTTAGGTTAGAATACTCACTTGTATGCCTCTTTGTTGGTGAACAACGCCAAACTTCCAACACTACTATTATATAACGAACGAAATCTGAAAGGGGGATAGATGACAAAGAAGCACTTCTCTTCCCCGACAAAATGGGGGTTGATAAAAACCGAAAAAAGAACGAAAAGAAAAGAATAAATTGGTGGAAATCGCTGGTTGCCTTGGAAAGGACCCCCTCCACTGCTAATGGTTTGTCAGTCTGCAGCTGCTGTGTGCTCCCCCCTTCCCAAGAGTTACGCCCCTTCCTGGTGACACCATCGGTGGGGAAGATTAAATCTCTTCTCACTTGGGTCACAGAAATAAGATTTTTGTTTTGTCAGCTGAAAACGTTACACAGCGTAAAAATTCTTAGTAATGAATAGAAATTTACTCTTAATGTTATGTTTCACAGTAATTGGACGAGTCGCTGTCAGTCAAACGAGTCGATTTGTGTTTGATTGTTATTTTTGTTAAAACACAATTGCTTCATTAACGTATTAATGTTTTACTCTGTTGTGTGATTAAAAAAGTCACTTTTCCCGTGGTCCGGGGGTAAAGAAGCCATTTCCATTTATACTAAGCTGATATTAAGTTCCATATGTATATTGTTGTGGAAATATTTACTAAAAACTATTTTACTTTACATACAGGCAAGTTTTGTGTTTCTGTTTTGTTCTTGATATGATTTGTTTGTTTGTTCGTTCGTTCGTTCGTTCGTTCGTTCGTTCGTTCGTTCGTTCGTTCGTTCGTTTGTTCGTTTGTTTGTTTGTTGGGTTGTTTGTTTGTTTGTTTGTTTGTTTGTTTTAACAATATAGCTTGTATTGAAACGTTGTTCGTCGAGTCAAAATTGAAAATTGTGAGTCAAATCACAATAAGTAACAAAGTGTGGCAGGTTGTCACTTGTAGTGAATGGTATGAATTGGGACAGGATGATTAGTGATAGACTCATTTTGACGACCTGCCTGCAACTCTGAAAGCAATGGTAATTCCAGCCTAAAATATTCTTGCCTATAATTTCAATCATACTTGATGAGGAGGAAAGTCATATCCAGCAGTGCTTGAACTCAGAAAAGAAACAAGAAGTTTGGGCTGAATACGCTTTGTCATTCATCCCAATTTTTTTCAGTCGATGTGGTCCCCCCTTTCAAAATTCAAATGTATACGTCATCGACCCTCCACGCTATGTAATGAAATTTAGTAAAACGTATTATCCGGTAACTTCGTCATTTCATGTATTGTATATATTTCCATGTATATATTACAGATACACTATCATGCGAGCACATCTGTATTTTTGAAAAAATACACTTCCCGGACATTTGGTGTTAAACTTACACCAAACAGTCGTCAGCAATGATTGACAAGGGTGTAATTTTAACACTACCGATCTCATGGTGTATCAAAATCAAGATATTCGTATTACAAAATGTATTGCGCTTCACCTTGTTCTGTAACTAATTAACAGCGGTAAGATGTTTTGTAAACTAATATTTGTAAGTGTCACTAAGAGAGTATCAAACAAAAATGATGAAAACACGTTATATTTTCGTAATTTACTAACAAGGAGTTTTCAACTGGTATGCAGGGAGGAAGATGGATGGTAATACATGAGCATACATTGGATGAGGTTGTGACTGTTTATCGGGGCGGTATTGATGTCCGGAAAAAATGGGGTATCAAATGCCGAGCCAATAATAGGCTTGAACGCAGAACCAATAATGTAAGACCTTTGGATGTAGACCCTAGACTGTGATCTTGTGTGTGGAACCCACGGAATTATCAGCCTCGAGGGTTTTTCTGTACAATCACTGCCAATAATCATAATCACTGTTAGATCTGTAGATTTGGAGAACCACTCGAGATATACTACAAACGATACAAACCATTAGTGAAAGGTGATTCAAAACTAGAAATTTACTGTAAACGTCATTAATGGACTTAACGGTGATTTACGAGAAACGGACAGCCGTCGTGTACGTGTGTGTGTCATAATTATAAATAAAATATGTATGCACTTAAATACAGTCGTTGGCTTGACGTCTTGTTTCATGTTTTTGAGTATCTCAGTTGCGTCTCCAAAGGTTGTAGGTTTACATGAAAGCGTTACAAATGTAATAAACCTTTCTGACTTTAGCAATGCATTTTGGATGACAAACAAGCGATGTATTTGGTGCACAAACCTGTAAGGGGAAAATGAAACAGTCCGAAATATATTTATAATTTTCTTCAGAATATTCTTACGTCACTTTACGTCAGGGCTGAAAAAAATCACTATGACTTGTCGGTGCAGGATGATTCACCTTTAAATCCTGATTCTGATTGACAAATGCTAGGTTATCTATATTCATGATCTAAGCCCAAGATAAAAACTAGTGTTCTTTGAAAGAATTTCCCGCTTTTTCTTTTTCTGGTGAGCATAACATTTTTGGATTTGTGACTGTTTCTTATCCCAAATCTACAATACAACGCTGTGTGAAAAAAGCATGGCTTGAATTGGAGTACGTAATAAAATGGAAACAGATGAATGTTTTGCAGGTACAGTAGTATACTTCCTCCATAGGATTGTACGAAGGCCCTGTAGTGCCATTTAGCGTATATCTTCAAAAAAGTGAAGTATACTTTTTCAAAGTTCGTTTTTATGAAGTATATTTTTCAACCTCCTTTTCAGGAGATTGGTCTTTCCAAAGTTCGTTTGTTCGATCATATACTCTCCAGTTCCTTCTTATGAGATCTGTATGTAGAAACATTGTTTCTAGTTTTGGAAACAAACTTTTACGGCATATTTTTTACCAAGTTTGCTTTAATGCAATTTTTTTCCTTGTTCGTTTTTGTGAGATATTTTTTCTAACTTTGTATTTACGAGAGATAAATTTTCGAGTTTGTTCATGGAGATATTTTTCAAGTTCGTTTTAAAGTATGCATCCCACGTGCGTACGACCGATCAGTTTGGGAAATACTTGAGCCATAGGTCCCTGGGGAAGTTAAGGGCGTTGGCTTTGACTATGGTGAGTGTCAGGCTGATTTGACAACAAGGAATCTATGACTTCATCGTGAGTTAGACCTAAATAAAAGAACAAAAGGGTTCTTAGACATTAATGTAATAAACCACTATGGCCAAACTATTATCTAATAATAGTGGAAAGCGAAGGAAAAAATGACCACAAAATTTGAAAATTTGAAAAAACGACCTTTGGACACAAATATATCTCATAAAAACTAACAATTGGAAAAAGTATCTAACATGGAATAAATCTCATAATAACTAACTTGGAAAAAAATCTCCTAAAAACGATTTGTTTCTAAAAGTAAAAGCAATGTTTCTTAATATAGATTTCATGAGAACGAATTAGACAACATGTATCTCTCAGAAACGAACTTTGGAAAAATATACTTCACAAACACGAAAATGTGCACTTGATGGCACTACAAGGTTTTCGTAGGGTTGAGCATAAAATGCCTTTTCCGGTGGTCATTGAAACCAACAATAATGTATGGCAAACGTCGAAAAGGTTCATTGGGTCCAAGTCTGCTGTATGCTATCACCCTGCTTCCCCTCTCGTTTCAAATGAACCGTCACCACATTCTGTTTATATTCACCACTGTTTCAAATAATTACACCCCTACCCTCCTATCTTAGCCACACGTTGATGCTGTAGTGAAACGGAGTTCACAGCAGAAACCTCAGCGCGGTCAACGAAGCTGAATCCTGTCTACGAAGCCTCCCCGGCGTCACAGACTGGAGTGACGTGATTAAACGTCGTCGACATGGTTTAGCTGAAGCACTTTTTTCTGTCTACTCTGTCCCACTTCAGTGTTAATTACTTTCTGTCAGTTTGTCGTTTAACCGTTTATTTTCTAAAGAAGAGAGACATTTTGATGAGGCGGGCTTTGGAAATCTGTACATTAAAAACGTGCACTGAAACCACAGGTGAGAGACCACAATGACCTTAGACCCTGTCAGCAGTGGCGTATCCAGCTGGGAGGGGAGGTCTCCCCTGAGGGATTTTTAAAAAAAATTCCAAAAAATACTTCACATTTGAGTAGGAAAGAAAGTAATCGGTATATTTATTTATCAAACATTAGCACCAAACCCTAAGAAATCAACACCAGCAAATAAAAGCAAGGGTTTCGGGACCACGAGTAAAGCTTTTGATGTTTGTTTCTCTTCCGCCACATGTTGAATGAGCCCGAAGCTGCTTTTTGCTTTTGAATTCCCCCCCCCCCACACCGAACGCTGGATACGCCGCTGCTTGTCAGAGCTGTATGCATAATAACAAACAATGACTGTTCATTCTGTGCGCAGTACAGCATGCGGCTGACGACAAGTCCCTAGGCCGTAAGTAAAATCATATTGAAATCGGAAGATTTTGGACTGTTTGGGCTATTGTTACGTCTTTCATCTCGGTTTTGTTTCTTTTACTCCCCCTTTCCTTTCTCATTTTCAAATCTTCGTCCGGGGGCAAGCATCCTCTTGACACTCTTGCAACGACGATGGAGAGAGAATGTGTGTAGCCTATGGAACTGAAGAGACTTAATATGATTAATATAAACAGTTCCAATTTTCGACACAGTGTCCACAGCATACCCAGTGTGGACACTCCTTTGTTCTCGTGCGACAGGACTGCTTCGGAGAATACAGTGGGGAAAATTATGTGAAACTCCTCAATCGTGTGAAAAATGAATTCGTGTTAGCACCACTCACTCACACCACTCCACAAAACACGGCAATTTGACCAAGTTGATCTTGTGGGCAACCGATTATGCGATTTAGTAAGTCACTCCACTTGAGGCGTGCTTGGAACTTAATGTCACCGCTTCCCTCAAGCAGATTGACATTTTGACGGCTCAAAAACACCTGGCAGTACAAGGAATGGATTTATAGGTATCTCGCGTAGGTATCTCGAGCAGTTGCGTCAAGATAAAGGCTGTAGCTGGCTTATTGTGGGAATTGCAGAATTTTGACACAAAAGTTAGCAAGGGCGATTCGAGAACCAAATTTTCAAGGGGAGGCATAAATTGAAAGAGAGAGGGGGGCATTTTTACACGTGTTTACGCGCGTTGTGTACTCACACGATTTGAGAACAAAGTCCCCCCCTAATAATAAGCCTTTTGCAAGTTAAATGTGAGTAAAATCTGGTACACAGAGTTATCTAAATTCCTGTGAACATATCAAATTGAATTAGCCATAGGCCTACCATAATTTTATAAAGACACTGCTGCTATACCTCGCCCGTGATTCGGGGCAAGCTTTTGCTTAGTTAAATTCATAAGACACGTCTTGCACCAATACACTGTTTTCAATTGATAAGAAGGGCACAAAGGAACCAGTCACCAATGTGAAAGCTCACGAGGTAAAGCAACAGTGTCTTCGGTTTGGGAAAGTCAAATTGTTATGCTTATGTGCAATCAGATTACTCGATGACCAGATTTTATTCAAATTTAACTCGCAAAAGGCTTATTATCTTTTAACATATTTGAAAAACAGACAGGAATAAATATCTTTTGGGGTGAGGCACGGCCCCGATGCTGCACTGAAGGGTGGTCACCTAAAACGCTCGTAACGCAATACGAATCTTCACCTTTTTTTACACAGAAATACCTTGTTTTCGATCTCAAACGATTGAGTAGTCATTCAACCCTTCCCCTCAAATGGCTAGATTAAAAATCTTTTCCCTTGTCAGAATTGCCAGTGCATTCAGTTTGCTACAAGGCCATTCTTGTCAGAAATCGTTT